CTAAGGGAGAATCTCCTACTTCTGAATGGTATGGCCATGCCTTCTCCAAGCTGTCAAGTTTGTCCAGCTTACTGAAGAATGTGGATTTGGTTAATGGAAGGCTTGTCAATGTCACCGATAACTCGAGAGTTCAAGATGACATTTTGCTCGAAACCATGACCCATTTCAAGTCTCTAGCTAGAGACTTCATTGGAGGTCCTTTGGTTCAAGACTCCATGAGGAAGAATATGGTGAAGATGGATTTCGGGAGCAGCAATCCAGGAGGCAACCGTCTTCCTTGCTTTAACAAAGCCAGCGAGAGGGAACCGATGACTGTGAATTCCCTTACAAAGGTTTCCAGTTTCTTGAATGTTACTGCTCAACAGAGGAAGGTAGTCAGGGCAACGGTCTGCCCACGGGTAACCGAACATCAGGTTTGGACGGGCGCGCTTGAATTGATACTGGGTGAACTGAAATCCGAGATAGAGCATTTGGAATCTAGGTTCCCAAGTAAAGAAGTAAAAATGGGAAAGCAAATAGTCGCGGGCTGTCTCAAGGTTTTGGGCATTGCAGTTTCTTACAACCCGGATTCCAGTTCGTGGATGCGAGTTGCACCAGCAAAAGGCAAAGTTTCACCACCACCTACTCCTCACAAATGGGAGGACATTCTTGAAATGGTCATCGATGTTGTCGACTGCTTGAGAGAAGTGACAGAGTTGTCGTTAGAGGTTAAGAAGGCAGAGGTCATGAAAGAGGGTCTGTACCAGATAAGGGAAATCCGGATAGACAAAAACATTGGGTACAGGGAGAATTGCCATCAAGAAAGCCTGGTGAAGAAGATATTAACCAAGAGATTGGGCCACTCGTCTCCGTGTTTATTTACACTTCTCACGTACTATCTCTACGGCAGCATCAGAGATATTGAAGTGGATGTTCGCGGCGGGGTTTGTGCCATTGGTCGCGGGGATAGGTTCCGCTTGTGCATGGGAAAGATATTGACATCAGATGAAGAGGAGATGGTATGGAGAGGGGTGAAGCAGCTGGATAGGGCCATGGGGTTGTTTAAGTTCATTTGGGAAACAGCAGGAATGAAAGGAGATCTTGTACTCCAAGGCCATCTATGGTGCATTGGCACCCATAGTAGATCACTCACATATCGAGGGAATACATTCTTCTTGCACGGGATCGATCGTTTTCATTAAGATTTTCTTCTACGAAGAACATTCCAAACGCTTTTGAGCTTTTGCGAGGTTTGTTGGCAAAAACGTTCAAATGGATCATTGTTCCAAGTTTTTTTCCTTTGTGCATGAAAGAGTTGTGAAATGAAGAATCTAATTGAATCTCGTTTGAACTCTTTTTGTTTATTTTTTCTTTGGTGAAACTCAACGGGTGCATCGTGACAACACAAGCAAGACCCATTGATCCCCAAGAAATGTCTACCTTAAACTCTCCATGAGGCTTTAACTGTCAAACAAATGTAGTATATACTATGATCTGTCTGGAACTAAAAGAGAATATTTAAAAATTTGATCTTTTCTATAGTTATTAAGATTCTAATTTTGGCACTCAAGAGGGTACTATTATATTGGGATCACCTTTAAATTTGTACAAACAAATATCTACATAAAAATGACTTAAATCCGTTTTTCTTTATTTAACTAAATTTAACAGAATATGTAACATGTCAACTTGGGTAAAGAGTTGCAGAATGATAGAAAACTGCATCTTTTGTTCAAATAACATGCGCATCCAAATAGTACTCACTATTTGGATAACTTTTAATAATCAACTAAATAAAAATTTAAGTTAGAATGACTCAAGTGACATTAAAATTCGGTGTCACCTGATGTCACTGGACACTTACATGGTTCCGTTCAAAAAATTTGTTGTTCTTATCCACTAAATCTTAATTTAAACCCTACCTTTGGATCGTCGGTTACAATTTGGAAAAACCGATGTGTCAAAGCCATCAATTTTGTGAACGGACAATGACTCCATGAGTGCCCACTCAAATTAGAGATAAATATAAAAATAATATTATTACTCTTTTCGATTGAAAATGTTTGTCGAATTTTAACTTTTTTGAATACATCAAAATCAATCTTTGACATATAAATAAATCAAAATTATATTATATACTCCCTATGTCCGAGAAAACATTATACATTTTGAATAGTATTTGGTCAAAAAATTACACACCTTAACTACAAATTATGAAAAAAGTATATTCATTATAATAAAAAATTAATATATGTGGATTCATTTTAGGACTAGTTTTGATATATCAAATTTTTATAATATTTCTTACTTGGATTATGTTTAATCTATGATCAAAGCAATGAACTATTTAAACAAAAATACATTTAAATGAGTATTATGAAAATAATAATTATAGAAAAAATTTAACTCTTGTTTGACGGGTCTTTTGTTCAATAGATCCCCCCAAAAGCAAGTGTAAGCCACTATTTGTAAAAACACAGTGACAATTTAATTCTTAGTACAAGAACATATGAAAACTTTAGACTAATATTTGTTGGGATCTTCAAAAAGAAGAGACCCTCCAAAAATTACCGTATGCCACTAATTGCGACAAGCACACGGTATTCTTTAGTAAAAGGCGAAAGAATAGTTCGCTCTGTGCTTGTCGCATGGCTGCGTGGTTTCAATCGACCAACAGACTTTCATTTATATAGGTGCTCACAGCGGCAAGTTGTTTCCCAAAGTTCCGGTGTGGGAAAATTAGATGGTATGAGCCACAAGAGCCGCTCGGCACTTGTTCGACGAAATGCCGCAGAGGAATGGCGATATGGATTGGTATTATGCTGTCAATCCAAGCTTTGCTCTTTTCCTCGTTTTGTGATTTACTTAATTATTGATGACAAGAATAGTTCGCTATGAATTTTTGGATGGCCAAAGTGCTCAAAATATAAACGCCGAGAGCGAAGAGTACTTTACACGAGTTCGGTGTAGGATTCAGAGTTCCCTATAGTGGCCGCCGGCCATGACTCATGAGCGGCGTGAAAAATCATATACACGGGACCATGAAAAATACTCTCTTCCAACACTACTTTTGTGGTTGATTTATTCAAAACAAATTTCATAATGATGAACCAACAAATCATATAAGTACTCTCTTCATCTCACAAAACCTTTTTTTGTTTGAATTTTAAAAAAAATTAAGAGAAGGGTATTTTGATGTCGACTTTCCAAAATAACCTTTGGATGTGATTGGTAGATTAATATTGGAAAAAAAATGACGTGTTAGGTAGGTTAAGAATTAGTAAGTTAAAAGTGAATTTCTAAAAGATATTAAAAAGATCTTTTGAGACGGATGAAAAAAAGAAAGATTTTGTGAGGATGAATTATTTTATGAGCTTGTTCTCTGCGTTTAATCTCAGCTGATCTTATAGAGGGAAATCAGGGAATACATTCTTCTTGCACGCAATCGATCATTATTATTAAGATTTTCTTCTACGAAGAACACTTCAAACGCTTTTGAGCTGGGATCTTTTAGAAATAGTATCTCCATTTCTAAGTAGGGTAAGGTCTCCATACACTCACCCTCCTCCCCAGGCCCTACTTTGTGTGAGTTTTTTTCCATGTTTGTGAAAGAGTTTGGAAATGAAGAACATATATTTGCTCTTATTGAATCTTGTTTGAAATCTTTTTGTTTATTTTTTCTTTGCAGAAACTCAGCCTGATGCATCGTGACAACACAAGCACGACCCATTGAGCCCCAAGAAATGTTTACCTTAAACTCTCCAGGAGGCTTTAAGTGTGAGACAAATGTAGTATATACTATGATTTGTTTGGAACTAAAAGAAAATATTTAAAAATTTGACCCTTTCTATAGTTATTGAGATTTTAATTTTGGCACTCAAGAGGGTACACTATTATATGGGATCACATTTATCTTTGTACAAACAAATATCTTCATAAAAATGACTTAAACATGTTTTTCTTTATTCAACTAAATTTAACAGAATATTTAACATGTCAACTTGTGTAAAGAGTTGCAGAAGACATCAATGAGAGAAAATTGCATCTTTTGTTCAAATAACATGCGCTTCTAAATAGTACTCACTATTTGGACAACTTTTGATAATATAAATTTAATTCAAAACGACTCAAGTGACATTGAAATTCGGTGTCACCTAATGACACATGACCCTTACGTTGTTCCGTTCAAAAAATTTATTGTTCTTATCACCTAAACCTTAACTTATCCCCTTATCCTTTGGATGGCCGATTGGCTACAATTTGAAAAAATTGATGTGTCAAAGCCATCAATTTTGTGAACAGACCATGCCTCCGTGAGTGCCCAATGTCATTGGACAACAACACACTCTAGTGTCACTAGAAATTCCCCGCTCAGATTAGATATTAAAATAAAAATAATATTACAAATCTTTTCATTTGAAAATGTTTGTCCAACTTTAAATTTTTTGAAGCAATCTTTAACCTAAAATTAAATCAAGATTATATTATATATATTTACTATATAAATTATTATTATGAAATGAATAGTAACAAAAATAATTTAACTGTTGATTGACGGGTCTTTCATTCAAAAGAACCCTACAAAAATAAGTGTATGCCACTAATTGCAACAAGCACAAGGTATTCTTTAGTAAAAGGCGAAAGAATAGTTCGCTTTGTGCTTGTTGCGTGACTGCATAATTATAATCATGGCCGAAGTGCATTAAATACAAAGGCCAACAACGAAGAATATTTCTCACGAGTTCGGTAAGAGATTCAAAAGTTCCTTATAGTGGCCGTCGGCCATGAGAGGCGTGAAAAATCATATACACGGGACCATGACAAGTACTCTCTTCCAACACTATTTTTTGTGGTTGATTTATTCAAAACAAATTTGATAATGATGAACCAACAAATCATAGAAGTACTTCATTCGTCTCATAAAAATTTTTGATTTTTGACTTTTAAAAATTTTGAGAGGAGGATATTTTAGTGCCGAGTTTCCAAAATTACATTTGGATGTAATTGGTAAAAAGTAAGATGTGATTGGTAAACTAAGAATGAAAAAATGTGATGTGACACGTAAGTTAAGAATTAGTAGAGTTTAAAGTGACCTTTTTAATAGATATGAGAAATTTTTTTTGAGACGAATGAAAAAAGAAAGAAGAAAAGTTTTGAGGGAAGGATGCAGTATTTTATGAGCTTGTTCTTTGTGTTTAATCTCATGTGATCTTATATGATTTGATCAGTTCTGATTATAATTATATTTAATTACTTAAAACTTACCATGATCTACATTTGCAGCACTCATATCCAAAAAAGTGACGATTATTTTGAAATTCAAAATTTCAATAAATAAATTATATTTTTTTAAAACTCTTTTATTTTAATTATTTTAATACTTGCTTGGAATGAAGTACTCCCTCCGTTCTAAAAAAGAGTATCTACTTTGAGCAAGTGTAAAAACAATGAAATGTTAAAATCTAGTTAACTTCCAATTTTGCCCTTGATGTGATGAATAGATTATTAGAAAAAAAGTATGATGTGATAAATAGGGTATGAAAAAGCAAGGATAAAAATGATTTTTTAGTATAAAGTGAAACTGTTTTGTTAGAAGTAGAAAAAATGAAAGAGAAAATATGTTTGAGAATAGAGAGTATTATTTTTTGTCATTTCACTTGGGGTCTGTTTGGGAANAAAGAGTATCTACTTTGAGCAAGTGTAAAAACAATGAAATGTTAAAATCTAGTTAACTTCCAATTTTGCCCTTGATGTGATGAATAGATTATTAGAAAAAAAGTATGATGTGATAAATAGGGTATGAAAAAGCAAGGATAAAAATGATTTTTTAGTATAAAGTGAAACTGTTTTGTTAGAAGTAGAAAAAATGAAAGAGAAAATATGTTTGAGAATAGAGAGTATTATTTTTTGTCATTTCACTTGGGGTCTGTTTGGGAATAGCGTTAGCGTTTTGGATAAAATTTTAATGATGCAGATTACTTTGAAAACGCTAACGCTAAACGCTGCCCGTCGATAGCTTTTTCAAAACGCTAACGCTAATCGCTAAAGCTATTCCCAAACAGGCGGTGATTTGATTTGCGATTCCGGATTTGGAACATGTATCTTGTTTGGATGCACGAGATTTATTACATCGTTTTTTACTAGTAATGGCCTATTTTGCACTAAGTGTGTATGTTTGTGCCATGTTTATTTATTACTTCCTCCGTCCCAATTTAAATCGTCTGTTTTGACTTTTAGACATATTTAAGGAAAATAAAAAATAAAGTTAACTTTTTGAAATTGCCATTACTTTTTAGGAGGAGTGACGATGAATGAGAAGATAAGGTAGAGAAGAGTGACTTATCTTAAGAGTAGTTTAAGTGTTTTACTCATAAAAGTTTACGATAACAAATAACAAGCAATTTATTTTGGGACGGAGAAAAAAAGCAAACATGCAATTTAAAATGGGACAGAGGGAGTATTTTAGTATATTGTTGAACCAAAACTTGTAATGCTCTTTTTGTTCTTCAAAAAAGAATGAAAGGAAAAATTAGCTTAATCCAAAAAAAAGAAAATGAGAAGTTAAAAAAGGGACATATCGAGTAATAGCAAATAAACATGACATAACAAATTACACTAGCAATTGGGTATTTGGGTGTGGCAGAAAAGAAAATAAGAAAAGTACTATAAACTTTCTAATTTTAATTGAAACAACAAAATTGTGAACTTTCCACTGGGAGGAAGAGTTATTTTAATTCTTCTTCAATTTTTTTCTTTGTTCTCCAATTGGTTCACCCAGTCACCCACAACCACCAAAACTCTTACCCAAATATGAACCAAATGGGGACTCAATAGACCAGAAAAAAACAGACACATCCCCATCAAGATACTCTTAAAAAAAAATTAATAATGCAAAAAATTATTAGAGACCAACGGATGAAGAATAAAGGGACATTATGACTTGCAGTTTAGTATACCCTCATCAATTCAATTCCATGGTTAACCAAACAACAAAATTTGTGTCCTCAAAACCACTTCAATCCTACCAATCAAACAATGAAATTTATTACCCCTCATGTTGTTTTTTCACAAAATATAGAAGGGTGTTTGGGTATGTTTTTTTTTTGTGTTTTTTTTTTGAAAAAGTGATTTTATTTGGACAACATAATCTAAAAACATCTCAGAGCTGCTTCTTGACTTTTTGTTCCACTGTCTCTCTGCAAGAAAGTTGAAAGTCATCACACTCCCAAACTGCCTTTCTCCGGGGACAAAAGTTGAGAATCGTTTTCGAAATCAATCGCAAACACCCTCTCTACTTCTCTTCCAATCGGCAGAGTATCGAATCTGCAAAACACTGTTGCCTGCAAAATAGAATACGCGAAAAAACCTTTGAGATTGCAAGATTCTTTCATCCCTCATTGTAACCAAACAAGGAAGAAAGACTTCAAACTTCTACTTCTCTTCCTGTCTGCCCAGAATCAATAATAATTAAATATTTATACTCAACTTTTAATGACAAATGCCCGATGAATGGGACAGAAGAATTCATGAAAAATAAGACTCAAGATCCAAAACAAACTGAAAGATATCTGTAAAGCATTAAAAGACTTACTTCCTCTCGCGGTGCTTTGGGTTGGGGCGAGAATATTTCAAATATCCATCCCAAGGAACCTTCTTAATACCTGCTCTAACAGAAATTATATCCCTCACCCTAAAAAGAAGAATCACATTCTTAAATAATTCAAGGTCATTCACTAAAATTCAACTACTGCTGGGAAATTCAATACAAATTAGAGATCATTTACCTCTCTGCAAACTCAATTGGTGTCTCACCCAGCTTTAAGTTTTGAGGTTCCAAGTACCAAACATCACAAACAACAGCCCATGATGTCATGAGTTGCAGCAGGTGCGTAGTGAAAGACTGCCTATGAACAATATTAAAATTTAAAAGCAAACATGAGCTTCCTCATGGTAAAAGATAATAGAATGTAATGATGTACTTCAATCCATAACAAGAGGAAGGCATTGGGAAAACACACCATTGGGAGCTTACTTTTTACTATTCCAGAAAGCATCAACAAAAATTTTGTTGTACTTGATTGCAACCGGGCAAACTGTGCATCCGAGCTCAAATGCACCCTATTTACTATCAAAATATTAGTAAAAAGTACACGCTAACCTTTATTCTTTTTTGGTTGCAACAAAAAACTATTTTTATACTCCCTCCGTTCCACAAAACCCTTCTGGTTTTGACTTTGGGGAAAAATAAGGAAAGTGTAATTTTGGTTGACTTTCCAATTTTGCCCCTGATGTGATGGGAAAAAGTAAGATGTGATAGTTTGGTTATTAGTGAAAAAGTATGATGTGATAGGTAGGGTATGAAAAAGTAGGGGTAAAAGTGGTTTTTTAATAGAAAGTGGAAGTGTTTTGTGAAAAGCAAAAAAACGAAAGAGGAAGAGTTTTGTGGAACGGAGGGAGTACATAAATATACAAATACTGTCAAAGGGTATCGTGAACAGTACAAAATCAGTGTTGCGGCTTAAAGAACAAAGTAATTGAGAGATCATATATGTCAATGGAAAAAAAACAATACTTTTTTGAACATGACACTGTAGTGGTTATTCACACAAGTTCCTTCCGGGAATATAAGAAGAGGGTTATTATCGGCCCCTTCAACATGTTCCCTTAGCCTGAAAAAATGTGGGGAAAACAATCAACAACAAATTAACAATGTTGTATATCATATACATATATCGAAGAAATAAGGTACTCAATGTCAGGATCTTATCACATACTTCTTCGCAACAATTTCACGATCTTTGGCCTCTGAACGGTTGAACCAAATACAACCTACACTTTCTAAAATTGTGCTCTGCAATAAACCTTTAAAAAACAGAATGAAGGCACCTTGTTATTCAGTAAATACTATGGGCCGCCTACTTAAAAAGCATCAAGGATGGCATACAATGCAGAACGACTCATCTATATTTTAAATTCTCTTTCATTAATTACTTTGGAGAAATGAAGGCAAAGATTATAATAAGGCTTGTGACGTTATGTGTTTGTGGCTGCAAACCACTATGGACAGAACATCAAGAAACAATGAAGGTTGTGCGTACTTAGGAGTAGTATAAGATGGGCTAGGTTCTTTGGAAACCCACCTTGGGTGTCATATTATGGCACCAGTCATTTGAGGGCCCTACAGTGTTCCGTTGGAACCACTGAGTTCCAACCCAACACAGAACCCCCCTTCATACCCCCCAGCCCCCATGGAAACACCAAAATGTTAGGGGGTTGAGGAGCAACATGGGGGTAGGAACCACTTTGGGGGCCTATTGAGCACCATAATGCCCTGGTGTCATAATCTAATACCCAAAACCGGTGTCAAAAGAACCATGGGGCATGACTAATTTGGAACTAAACTCTATGATTTGGCAGATTACCATAGCTAATTTTATTGGTGATTTTAGTTGTATAAGTTTAGGACTTATTTATTTAGTAGTGTACTACTAGTATTGTATTGTACTTCATATGCTATCATTATACTCCCTAGTCCCTGCGAGGGGGTCTAACTGAGGAATAATACATGCAAGAAATCCAATGAGTTCAGTGAGTTATGGGGTTTCGTTCTCAAAAAAATCCAAATCTAGAGTTTGGATCTCCAGTTCTCCACAAAACTGTAGCCACACTACACATTTGTACACCTTTGTTCCATCTTTGCAATTGAACATGCAAGTTTTTTTCCGGATTATATCATAAGGTTGCCAATATTCTTCCTTGTCTTTTAACTAGACCAAGAGGTCTTTTAGATTGAAGAAAAAAAAATGGTATCTTAATTTGCCATATACAGCATAGAATAAGAGCCAGAAATCAGTCACATAACATGAGAAACACTGCGAAATGCAAATATTAAAAAAAGGAAGTTCTATATCTACAATTAAATAATATGGAGTATAAAGTATGAATTATTTAAATGTGTATTTGTTCCATAATAATAATATCAAGATTCTTGCCCAAGCTCATCTAAAGCTAGGTTGGCAATCTGAAAACACCAATCCCATCCATACACCATATATTTCCTTGGATAACAAACCACAGTAAATGCAATTGGCAAATGAAGAAAGTAAAGTCTTACCAACCCATCCAGGATGCTTCTGCATGATGACTGCAAAGGCAGTCATCTGTTCTAAAATGATGAAATCAATCATAGATGTGTGATTTGCCACAAAAACCTGTTTCAAAACATTTAAAAACCTAAGATACAAGTTCTGCATTTGTATAGTACTATAGTAGAAAGTTAGATGAGATCATGAGACAGAGATCAAAACTCAAACTTAACCTGTTTAGGACGGACGCTAGGCCGTGGACCATGGTATTTGACCACACCAGTCCATGATGCAACAAAGAAGCTGCATATCAACTCTACCAGAACTCGCTGAAAAGCAAATAACAGACCAGTAGATTAAAATTAGACTGGTGAAACATTAGAAGAAACTCAATACAACTATACAAAAAGTCATAGAGGTGAGATAAAGACCAATGATATAACATAAGGAGTAGCAAACAACAACAATCCAGTGGAATCCCATGAATGGGGCCTGGCAAGGGTGGGTGTTTGGAGTACTTACCTCTACCTAAAAAAGGTAGAGAGGATGTTTCCAAAAGACCCTGGCTCACCATTGTCAGAGAAGCATTTCCAAGAAATGTTATATCTAAGAAGCATTTAATTTGCAATTGTCATTTTTACATTATTTTTGCTTTGGGAAAATAATGACTAGATCAAAGTGGAACAATAAACTTCCTCTTTGTCTCCCTTTCTATAAAGATTTGTGAAGTAAATGCATTGAGGGTCTAACTGAAACAATGACTCAATTTTTTACAGAGGTAAGGTTGCATAAATCTTGGCTCCCCCTCCCCCCAAGATCCCAAAAAATTTGGGATTGTACTGGGTTTGTTGTTGCTGCTTAGTGAACGAAGTCAATGTTTAAAAAGTTTAATAAACTTTAATAAATTAGATTAAATTTGGATTTGGACCGAATCATATATGTGAGTCTAAATAAAATGTAGAACATTACACACTAAACCAAACTAAACAAAAACAAGACATTAAGAAGAAGCTGAGCAAAAAGTAAGGTGTAGCATCAATGCATGCATACGGCATACCTCCAATCTTTTCCTTAGTCTATCATGGCCCTTGAGGAGGAAATGCACTGGAATATAGCACGACAAGAATATTATCCATCCTACAGTCAAAACAATAGCCCTGTATTGCAACTAAGACATGTAAGATTGCAACACTCATCACAACAAAGGAAAAAATATTTTGGCACTTTGGCACTCAAGTTTCTGACTTGTGCTAAAAAAATACGGAGTGATATTTATGAGTTAACAGTTCACTACTAATTAATACATTTGCTCCAGAAATGTCTAGCTGGGGAAAGATAGATTAATATGCAATTTAAGAATGGGAGAGTGCTAGGCATAGACATAAGATCATTTGATTAGGAAATTGATGAGTTGAGTGTATATCTTCTGTTACTTCATTCATCCCATAAAAAAGAACCATGTTTTACGACAGTATAATTTACTTTCTCATTTCAGTAGGGTACAAGCATTAGAAATCATCAAAATGACTATATTTTTTTAATTTATTTAATGGTTTACTAAATTAACACACTAAATTAATTTAGAACACTTTTTATGTAATTTTTTTTTACATACAATCAAAATTTGCCTTTTCATTCAAATTGAATATTCTTTGGGACAAAAATAAGTTTAGCAAGTTGACTCATTGTATGGGACATAATTGCATTAGTAGAAAACGATTAGCATGTCAGGGAAGAGGTAAAACAAAATGCAAACCTCAATGGGAAAAGAAGTCCATATCTGACTACAACTCCCAAACACCACAAAGGAAACAAATAAATATTCCAGTTCCAAGGTTCAGGAGGGTTGGACTTGAAGCATCTGGTAAATGAATCCTATCCAAGAAAAAGGCACCGTGAAAAATATTGATAAGATGAAAACTTCACCAGCCCAGCAACAAAAAGGTTCACATTCTGTTTTTAAAAAAATTATGCTTTTGTTTTGAGAAAAAGCATTTCTGGGTTCACACAATTTCTCCTTCCTCTACATAAAAATCAAGCACTCACATTCGTCTTTATTAAAATAATGGTTTCCACATGAATTGTGGAAACTTAATTTGGGATGGAGGAAGTATAAAATTGAGGTACAAAAATCAAGAAATCATATAAGAAGTCAAAGCAAAACAAAAGCTAGGAGATGAGAGGAGAGTAGAGAAGGAAAATCACATCAACAATGGCACCTGCGGCCTCAGTGAGAGTGGGCGAAATATCCAACAAATCACGTCTGAAAGAAAATTCATCATGAAGAATGAAGATAATCAGGGAAAAATGAACAGAGAGTATGGAGACAGATAGAAGGGGGGCGGAGACATACAGGCAAAGCTTGCCGAGAGGCTCATGGATAGATCCAGTGGGGAGATAGTCTTCCAGGTTGGGCCTATCCAGCTCCAATTCCGACCTTGATGTTGCCAGGACCCCGCTCATCTTTTGATGACGATACTAAGCTATATACTCTCGTCTTCGCATGCAATTCTTAGAGGGCAATTAAAAATGCCATTAAACCTTTTTTTGTCATAAATGTCACTCATTTTTTTTGTTTCTTTACTACCATTGAACTCTTTAATGGTGTTCAAAGTGCCACTTTCATTTTTTTCTCATCACAACAGTTAAAACCTTTGTTCTTGTCATCTTTTTAATTTTATATTTCTTTCTCATGTTTTCCTCCTCTTTCTCAACAAATTTGTTTATTCCTAGTTATTCACTCACAAAGGCCACCTTCATAAAAAATTAATTTTTAAAAACATAGCTTTGAAATATATGATGTTTTTTTTCCTTCAAAAAAATACATGATGGTTTTTCATTTGTCATTAAATTTAATAAATAAAGCAATTTTATTAATAAAAATTTGTGATTGTAGATGGTGATTGAGTACCCCCAAAGCAGTTAAAACTAAAAATGTAACTAGCAAGAACCCAAACACATAAATAATTTAAGATAGTACATGAAAACATCACACCATCAATATATGTTACAATCAATATATGTTACAGAACATGCTTAACACAGTATGATTATTGAAATCATTACTACATACTGAAACAATTACTAAAACATAAGGTTTCTTAAAGTTTATGAACCCTATGGTTGCTTGAAGTGTCCATTAATTGTTACTGGGTATTAAAAATTTAAAACACAGGGTTTTTTTTTTAATTTTCAATCATTATTGAAGATTGGAATGGAAACCTGAAATCACGAATATTTCAAACTGAGATCCCATATTTTAACTTTCAATATCTATTAAAAACTGAAATTCCTAATTCAATAGCAAGATTGATTTATAACCATAAAAAACCAGAGAATACCTGATGTATCTATCGAGAGCTTGAGCCAGGTGTAAAGAAGAAAAAGAGATAGATGAGAAGAGGAGGAAATGAGGAATGTGGATAGGCGCTGTAGAGGTTTAGAAATGTTTAATGAAATTTTTTTTACGTGCTCTATCATATCTATTGCTTCACAAAAGAAAATATATTGAACAAAATCTGTTGCTTCAAAAAATAAAATATTGAACCGTTAGATAAGTTTGATAAAAGAAAAAATCAAACCCAAACATGAGACAACCTTTCACCAAACCAAGATCTTTTCACAGAAGTACCCAAAATTTGAACACTTGAAACGAGAGAGAACACATATTCAGCTTCTAAGCTTGAAAGAGCATTCAGAAATAATTCTGTTTTTTCTTAGACTTACAAAGTCCTTTGGAGCTTCACAGAACCAAATATGACACCTAAAAAAAATCAGTGATAAGGATGGAGAACGAGGGTTTTCACTCAACAACAATCGAAACAAATTAAGAACTAAAATCAGAGAAAATGAATTACAACGAGTGTTTTCATAGAATCAAAATCGAAGCATCACAAATGAAGTAAAACCAGAGAGGGAAGCGAAATCTTAAAAATCGAAGCATTGTGATGCTCGTAAAATCAAAATCGAAGCATCACAAAACTTGAACTAGAACCAGAGAGATCAGCTAAATCGTAAAATCCAGAACGAGGGTTTCACAAATTCCTTTGAAGAACATCTCCAAGTAAAATCTAATCGGAGGAGAGGGTGTGGGAAACTAACCTCGTCGCCGTCGATGAGGGCAGCTAAATCGTCGGGAGAGATATTGGAAGTCGCCGTCGATGATGGTGAGAAATGCGAGGGACGGAGATTAGATTAGTGAATTAAATCTGGACCATTATTTTAATTTAAAAAGAGTTCCGATCCAACTCTCCAAGGGCTGAGAAAAAAGTGTTCTATTAACCGAAGGGTCACAAACTTACTCCCTATTATATTTTTGACTTAAATTTTCATTAAAATTATTTTACATTATTTAACTTTTTTATTTAAGTTTAAAAATAGTATGTTTGTGAAATTTGTGATTATTCTATTCGTGAACCTAGCATTGTTCGAGAGAAAATATGTCATACCATGACATTTGAATCCGTGTTGGGGGTTTCTACATTCCCCTTTTTATAAAATTAACGGTTCATATTTCTTCTAGTTCTCCTATATACCCTATTATTTCCCAATCCGAAACTACCCTCTACCGCCTTCAATTACACCCTAGAGTTTATTGGATTTTAGAGTTGAAATTTTGTTTCCAAAGTCAAATAAACTTTGGGGGTGCAATTGAAGACCGTAGGGGTGTGTTCAGTCGGAGTGGGATGGGGATTTATCTAAGGGATTAAAGGATAGAAACTGTCAGTTTTACGAACGGGACACCGTAGCAGGGTCATTCGATGACAAGGGTTTCGGTGTCATGGGAACCCCTCCAGTTAATATAACCATCACCTTTATCGGGCAAAAAACACTACTTAAACTTTATTTTTCGATATACTTTTTAAATTTAAACATTTTATTTTAATTTTATACTCCTTCCGTCTAGAATTCTTATTTCCATTTAACTTTTCAAAGTATTCAATGTTGCACTTTAATCATTAATATCTATATTTATATATAGGTATATTTTATAAAAATTTGATATTGAAACTATATTTCAACAGAAATATATTGATATTAAATTTATATCATAACAATGTATTTCTTCCATGTATCGGAGTCAATTTATAAACTTTAACAAAAAAAATCAAATGGAAGAAAATTTCGAGAGGGATGAGAGTACCAATTACCCCATCGGTCCATAAAAAAATTCCACTATCCTTATTTGTTCGTCAACAAACAACTTATCGTTTCATTATTGGTCAATCTGCTGATTTCTGGCCGTTCGGCCATTTTTTAAATGTATCTCTCTCTCTTTCTTTCTTCATATCTATATTCATTTACTTTCAATATATCAAAAAAGTTATAATAATCTATTAAAATAAAGAAATTAAAGGGAGTAAAAAAATTAGAAAAATTATGGTAACATATTTTTTTGAAAGTACAAATATTTAATAGACAAACAAAACAACGTAAAAGAAATATTTGATATTTTTAAGTAATAACTCGTCAAAAATTATGATAATACATACAAACAACATAGAAGAATTATAAAAAAAAGTACATAAACTCCATATATATAACTCTATATTACTCCTTGAAAAAGGACAATATAAATTTAATTGGGTTTTGGCCTTATTGTTGGATTGGAAGACCAAAAACTTATTAAAAAATGCTCGTCAAAGATTGTGATAATGGAAAATTAGGCGCCTTGCTTGGGAGATATGTATTTGCTTTGATTATGTATATGTATTAGCAAGTTTAAATGGTCCATTAAATTAATTGTTCGACCAATTGATTATGTTGTTCATGGAATATCTAAAGGAATCATCGTAAATAAGATTAAAACATAGAAAAAATATTAAAATAAGAGTTCACACTGTGGTAATGTGATACTGCACATGTTCATTTTATGTATTTTAACTTTTATTTTGGGATTAAAAACATGAAACATACTCTTATTTTGATATATTTTCTATTATTTATTCCTACTTTAGTCTTTTTTCTTAATTGTTTCTTAACTAATTATTTGTAGATGAATTCTACATGTACGTATACTAATGTTTGTTATACTTTTCGTAATACATCACCTTGTTAATGAATTTCACACTTTCTTTTCTTGTCATCTCAAGATAAACTTCACATTTTTTTTTTATTTTTTTATTAAGTAAGTGTTTTTCTGTTTTGGTGTTTATTAACTTATTGTTTATAAGCAGTTTTTAACTTATAAGCTAGTCATAAATTAAAAATTATTTCGTGTACATAAAATGACTTAAATGATATACAAGTCATTTGGAGATATTCATAATTGGTAAGAGATAATTTTGTAAGTAATCTGGTCAAAACAAAGAAATAAAAAACTGATTTAAAAATAAGTAAGACATACTTATTTTTCCTGACCTGTAAGTAATTTATAAATCAGCTTATAAGCACAGAGAAACACATCATCTGCTGACTTACAAGTTAAAAACAACATAAGCAATTTTGACAAGATTATAAGCATATAGGAACACCCACTAGTGTTTCTATGTGCTTATAAGTCGATCAATACTTTTTATAAACAGTTTTTAACTTATAAGCCAGTTGACAACATATTTTTGTGTGCTTATAAGTCTGCAAAAATAAGTAAATTTTAACTACTTATTTTTAAGTCAATTTTTTCGTTTCTCAATTTTGACCAGATTATTTACAAAACTGACTCTCACCATTTATGAATATTTCTAAGTGACTTATCTATCATTTAAGTCATTTTACTTTCATGAAAGAATATTTGACTTATAAGTTAAAAACTACTTATCAATAGTAAGTCAATAAGCACCACAGAGAAACGCGTATTTAAGTAATGAAATTGGGTGTTGTTATATCCACTTTCATTTCAACTCTATCCACTCCAATATCTCATTCATGTTAGAAATATTTGTACTAAATAGCACTAAAACTTAAGTCATTTTCCTATATAGCACTTAGATTATTTTATTCCCTAAATAGCACTTAATAACATCTATAATGTCCAGTGATGACAAACATTTACTTGAATAATGACTAATGGATAATGACTAAAAGTGCTACTTTAGGGAAAAAAACACATGTGATGCTATTTAGAAAAATTCATTATGTTTTAGTGTTATTTAAGTAAATTTCCATTTCATGTTAAATTCACAATTTTAACCTCAAGCCAATTTAAGGGCAACCATGAAATTTCTTGCTTATGATTTTCCTTTCACCTCCTCTCCAGCCAAAGATCAATTGCATTGATATTCTTCATCCGGCACCCAACTCAAACTTCTGAGTACTTGCAGTATTTCCGTGATTCTTGGATGCGAAAAATCTCCAATTGTGAACTTCTCCACAAACCCCTTCACTTCAACCAGACTGTGGCCGGCCTCTTTCTTCAGTCCACTCCCCTTCAACAGTCTCCTTGCTCCGGCGACACTCTTCCACATCCCATCTGATGCATATAGATGAGAGAGCAAAACGTACGGCGACGTAGTAACCGGTGGCGCTTTCGCCATAAGCCTCTCCGCCACCCGTTCCCCGGCGGCAACATCCCCGTGCAGCCGGCATGCGGAAAGCAGGCAGCCCAGAACAACCGAGTCATCCCCGAAAGGAAACCCCTCCAGTAGTTCCGTATATTCTTCGGCACTTCTCAGTCTCCCAGCTCGTCCCAGAAGATCAAGCAAGCAAGAGAAGTGTTCAATGTTGGGATTGATCCCATGAGCTTCTTGCATGGAAACAAAGAAGGACTTTCCCTCATCAACAAGCCCTGCGTGGTTGCAGGCCGTTAAAAGCCCTAGAAATGTAACAGAGTCTGGCGCGAACCCATGTTTCTGCATTTCCTCGTAGAGTTGTATGGCTTTTCTTCCATGGCCGTGGTTTGCGAATCCGGCGATGATGGTATTCCAAGAAACCAAATTGTGGCAATGCATTAGGTTGAAAACAGCATGAGCATGTTGCATGCAGCCACATTTAGCATACATGTTAACAAGGGCATTGCTAACAGCTATTTCCATGTTTGCCCTTGTTCTAACTAAGTGAGCATGTATCTCGCCACCTAGACGCACGGAAGCCATGCCAGCAGAGGCAGACAGAGCACTGGCATATGAAAAGTCATCCACGCCAGTAACAAATTGTTTGACCATGTCTCGGAAAATGTTCAAGGCTTTTTGGTGATCCTCGCAATTAGAACAGGCAGCCATGAGAGTGTTCCATGATATGATATCAATCTCACTCATCATTCTAAAAGCCTTCTCTGCTTCGTTAATCAAGTTTAACTTTGAGTACATTGTCATTATTATGTTTCCAATGAAAGCACTTGAGTCCAGGTTCAACTTGATGGTTTGACCATGCAAACTCATTCCTATTGCCCAGTCTTCTGCAGAACAGATTCCAAATAGTCCGACAAAAGTGAACCGATCTGGAACCAAACCTTGTTGGCACATGAGTCGGAACATCTCAAAGGCTCTCCGTTTGTGATTATTTTCTACCATACCAGTAATTATTGCATTATAGGAAACAACACTAGGCGCTGATGTACTAGCGAAAATTGAAAAAGCGTCATCACAGTGGCTACATTTCATATACATAGACATTAGTGAGTTGGAGACAAAAGAGACAGACGAGTAACCTAATTTGATAGACTTACAGTGGATCTGTTGCCCAGCTTTCAATGCCAAGAGATTGGCACATGAACTGAGGCTGCTGGCAAGTATATATTCATTTGGCTCTAGATGCATCTGAGAGAAGAGTTTGATGGCCATCAGATGCTGCCCAGATTGATCATAACCAGATATCATGGCTGACCACGTCACAAGATTTTTGTTGGACATCTCATTGAACACTTGGTAAGCAAATTTACTGTTGCCGCACTTGGCATACATGTTGAGGACATGATTGGAGACTATAACATCACACAGCACGCCAGTCTTTATCGCAACAGAATGAAGAGAAAGGCCGCATTGGAGTGCCTTAGTCTTAGAACAGTGATGCAAGAGTGAAGAAAGTGTTTCCATCACCATCTTATACGCTTTAGGACAATCGAAAAAATTTGGGGCTTCTCTCCTGTCAAACAAATATAAAAAATGGAAGTAGTATTGTATCACAAGTACCAGTGAAAGAAAAGAAATAATAGAAATAAATACACGCACATGTGCATTGTCATATAGATGGGCAAAAACTGGCAAATGAGACTATGAGAGTTGAATTGAATCACATGTACACAGACATATAAATGGTGAACAAGAAAAAGACGACATTATTGTCTTACCGTTAATGTTTCATTTGCTTCTTCAGTGAGGAATTTAGTCCAATATCTTCCTCACAAATTGGATACTGCTGTAAGTTTTTGACATCAAGGTTATCGCAAGCAAATTTGATGCGGAGTACAACTTTTTATAGACTATTTCCAAAACTCGGTTGATGCTATTGTATTTCCAAAACTAAAAATAGTGATCACCAAACACTCTTGGCATGATACAACAGCTTACTAATACTTTCAGAAAATTTGATATTAATATACTGATCCACAAGTATTTCAATTCCCTTGGGGCTTATACACACTAACGAACACAACCATGCTTATTAAAATATACCCAGTACTGTTTATATGATGAAAGTCAACATTAAAAAAAATTAGCCTAGAATTTTGGGTCATCAAACCAGAGTTACAGATATAGCCAAATGAACACAGCTCACAAGTTTATTTGGCAAGATAAATTTTACAACATAAACTGTCAAGTGACATGTAAAACAAAACAGACATAGCCAGAGCACATCATGCTCTATACTAAATAATTAGGGTATAATCACCTCAAACAGCCAAAATAAATCATTAGTATCAATCATAATTATAAAATCATCTCAAAAGATGAAATTTAAGTTCACAAAGGGCAAATTTGTGCAATATGAGCCTTTTTGTGTGTGACTAACATTTCTCTGATTGAATACTCCAAAGGAACCGGATTGCTTCCACTATCAATCTCACTGCATTCGTCAACCACATAGTGCACTAAATCAATTTCACAATGAACATCCGCATGGCATACCTTGAATTCCCAAATGAAGAACTCTCTGCATCTCTTGCTCCGCGAATAGCAGACTCTGGAAACTGAGAATCGGCCCTGGTGCAACTCGGGAGCCGAGCCGCCGGAGTATCTGCCGCAGGCGTGAATCGGCTGCGGGAGATTTTTAAAAGTGGCCCTTTTTGAGAAATCAACTCCCTTTTCAGACTCTGCTGATCAGACGGAACCAAAAATGTAATGGGTAACCCGAATCCGACCGACCGGCTATTATCAGAGTTTTTTCAAAATCATATACCCTTACTTTACTATGAAATAAAATGTTATAAAAATAAAATTATAATTTTTTTTACTCTTTGTTTTTAGTGTATAAATTTGTATTTTTTGAATAAAATTTCAATGATATTGTATAACTATCTTACTTTTCCAAAAATTAAGCATTTTTTAATTCTTTATATTGATTTACATACCTAAAAATTACTTCAAAATTTAAAATAAAATAATATAATAGATTTAATACATATTTTATGTTTTTATAATTTTATTTAATGCAAAATGCAGGCGTTAATATAAATTTAAAAATTTTAAAAATCAAAGTCATAATCATGGGTTGACCCGAACATGATGACATTGGGTCATGAACATACAGTTCTCAACCGACCTCGAATTGACCCATACTCGAAGTAACCCGAACTCGAAGTGAACGAACATCAACCCGACTTGACTGATTTGCCAGCTTTACTATTTCCGTTGCGTGTTACGATGTTTGACTGAAGTTATTTTCAAATTGTTTTATACGAAAAATGGCATGGAATTAAAAAAAATAAAAATTATATATTTAATGTTTAATTTAAAGATCTACAAAACTAGAGGTGACATGACTAGATTATTTTATCAAATGGACAACAAAATAAGCCAATAAAATGAATAAAATTTGACCATGTGAATAACAAACGAGAAGATAATTTTTGAACAAATGAAGTATAATTTAATATTAACGATAGATTTACAAGATGTACAAAAACTTAGTTTTAAAATTAACGATAAATTTAGTCTTAATATTTTATGATGTACAAAAATCAATCCACCTTTATCAAAATTCATGTCTCGTATAGCATGGGGCATGACCAATATTGGCCGGGTTAATTGAATTGGTTTATAAGATCATGTTCTCCTAAACTTATTTTTCTTATTACTTATTCTCATTTGAATCAGATCAGATTAAAAATAGCTTTAAATATAATTACAATCAGATCAGAATAGATCAGACCAGATCAGAATTTATTCCAATCAAATCAAGTGAAGAGAACATGGCATAAATCAGCTAGATGTGACCCGACATACTTTTGGAAAAGTTGTCCGAGCTAAAAATAAAAATGCACAACTTTGTTTCTAGGAAGCCGAGCCAACTATCGTAAGGAGGGATACTAATTAAGAACCCTAAACTCGCAAATTATAGTTAATCAAAATATAATATTTCCGTCTCATCACTCTACCTACATTTTCCATTAGTAACGTAACGACAATCCGAAATGTAGGATTATTTCACATAATATTGCAATGCAGAATTGTTTTTGGTACTTCTGCCTCCATTGCCCCTTCCCTTAAGTTTTATCAAGGTGGAGTCTTCAAGAGACTTTGGTTTGGGAGAATGTCACATTGTAAACTTGCCAGATAAACATCTTCACATTTGTCAACAGTTGGGTACTCCATAGTTTTGGCCAAAAAGTGATTATGAAATCAACTGATAGCTCTCAAAAAAAAACCTTTTCCTATTAAAAAAAATCTCATATTCCCAAATTTTATAATCCACAAATAACACACACTGTGCACAACACTTATTTGAAACCAAATAAAATGGAAACATAACTTCACCAACAACACAAGAGACGCTGGGGGGATGTATACCGATATATATATATATATATATATAGACACACACACACACACACAAAAGTTATGGCTAAACCCGACCAGTGGTTGTTGAGTAGGGCGGGCACCGGGCACCAGGAACCCCGAAAATAAGCTGCCCTAATTGCATATGCCCAAGTCCATTGTCGTCCGTTCTGTCATTCCGGGCAAGCATCTTTTGTTTCAGCAGAATGGCTTGGCATGGCCTGTGAGAGGACGCCGCCAAGGATAAGACTGTAGGAAGGCACCAGCAGTTATTTACCTGGAGCCCGAAACCAACTTCTTGAGGGATGTCAAGGGGGAGCTGTATCCATACACTTGCATATCTTTCCAGAAGGCCATAACTGTAATTTTTTTTGAAAGTATTAGTACTGAGAAGTGTGACATTTTTATTTTCTTCTTTTGGAAGAAATAAAATAAAGTCGAACTGTAAGAAAGGCATACTTATCCATGCTATGAACCCCGTTGTAGCTGACAAGAAAAACTCCCTGCTAATGACTTCAAAACTGGAGGGGAAAAAAACTCATTCAGTAAAAATTGTGGAGGAGAGAGTTTAAACCCCTTAATATGTACTATTGTACTCATGGTACCTGTACAAGCAAAAAAGATTTCCCCATCCATAAAATATGCACGCCCAACTTGAACCAGTGAACCTGTCATTTACCTCAAATTTTAAAGCATGACAATTTTTTACAGCAGAAAAGCAAAGAAAAAAAAAGAGAAGCACATTTGGTATCTCCTTGCAATTTTACCTCTCACCAGTAATTAACTTAATTAGTTCTTGCTACAGATTTTTTGTTCTTACATAGGTTGTTAGATAGTAGCCAGATTGTTGCAAACTTTGGCATCAGACAAACATCACCACTAAATTTCATTAAAAGGACATCTGGAAATCCTAAATGTATGAAAAGAAGGGCCAAAATCATCTTAATGACAAAATCGTCCACACCTATGATGCACGATAAGAAGCAATGTTTCCATATGAATGAAACCTCTACGAAACTCTAATGCAAATATTATGGGTAGTTTTCCACAAAAAAATGGTGTCCCGGACTCCCGGTTACTTGCATTTCCGTGTACGTGGCTATGTGCAACATAGAAAGAACTACACAAACAAGTAACTATGGAAATAAAAACAATCGAAAAAGAGAAAAATGAAGGACCTAGAACGTTGATTCTACTTCGCAACTCATAACAGAGTGCAACTTTTAGGTAGGAAAGTGTTCACAATTTCTTCATCATCGTCACCTTAATCCCAACTGGTTGGGGTTGGTACCATGAAATTCAGTGCGACATAATCATTTTTATCAAAGTGTGAAATAGTCATGTTAGTAAATGTTATAGACACACAAAAAACATACACACAAAGCTTTTCGCTAGATGTCCTCCCTGTGACAACCTTCTTACTTGGAAATAATGAGAAAAATTCAAAAACTTTCATCACCACAGGTTATTTCCACAGCAAGAAAGCCATACATTAGCTATGCATATGAGTGTGACTGCATACATGAAACAGATGCCAAACAAAAAATAGACCCTATAACTATGAGATCAAAGTTCTAACACTTCAGGAATGGGTGAAACACTTGACAGAGTAGAGCTCCATTGCTGACATTTTTCACTCAAGTTTTGGTTTCATGAGATATGCAAAACTCATACTAACTAACAATCAACCCACATACATAAACTTTAGCTAAACATAATGTGAATATATTGGAACTTGGAAGGTATGCTATGCTTATCAAGGAGCACCACTGAAATCAACTTTAATGATAGAACAGATAAACAGGTTCTGGAGAATCAAAAAATGACAATGAACATAACTATTCCATCAGCATTACTCTTGTTGATATCACATTCCTATTAGGCAGAGATCTACTTTAGAAAACAACATTAAGAGTTAATTATGTGTGTGTACCACATGAAATCCCGAGTGAGGAGTGCCCGAGGAATCATTAGTCCATTACCAATCATGGCCAGCAACATTGAGACAGCCGATAATCCTTTAATGTTATCAGGATTAAGGAGATTCGTCCACTGCACAGGAAGCAATAGTCAAAATTACTTCAAGTAATTTAACTTTGACTACACGAAACTTACCATTTGTGCAACTGGCATCCACATGAAAAGAAGTGTTGCAGTCCATGCAGAAAGTAATGCAACAAACTCCACACCTTTCTCTGGCAGCTTACCCATCCGAGCCTGTCAATGTAAATAAAATAAATTCAAAGAAGCCTTCATGATGAATTTCCACTCTCCTTAGATTATACACTTAATTCAAGAAAGATGCTCTGTAATTTCAGGCCTATACAATGCTTAGGTTTGCCATTTTTGGAGAATTCACAATTAAAATATAAATGTGAATATTGTCGTATTGATCAAATTATCACAATTAACTTTACAGATAGGGGGCGTTAGAGCAAAACCAAGGGGGCTGATTATGTGAATTTTATTCTCTGTTAGCTTTCCACAAAAAGAGAACTATGCCAGAGATATGTTCAACATATATCCAACACAGGACTAGGTCATTTATGACACAACTCATGTTAACAGCAATTTCAACATTGTCTTCAAGAGCGTCCATTGCCAATTGACAATGTCTAGGTTGGGGTAAATAATAGACTAAATAAAAATTGCACATTATTCTTCCTTTGCTTCTTTATTTCTATGAAGTTTGGAGAAGTGAATGCAGCAATGCACCAAGGGTCAAACATGCAACCTCTCTGTAGGGGTAAGGTTGCATACATCTTGACTCCGACACTTCAAAATAGTTAGATAGCTTCAACATACACCTCAAAAAACATATTAGGAAAAAGATTGGTTTGCTTAAGCACGACGCCACAACCTCACCAAGAAGTTATGTCATGACATGCACCAAAATTGGTCCAAGCAGATGCGGAGGCAATGAAGACCTTACTGGTTTCTAGCACTCCCCATCTTTGATAGGCAAGCCTATGCCCAACCTAAGGGTCAAAAGTAGGTCATACATTTGTACAAC